ATTAATCATTTAACAATTTAAATAATTAAAATTTATCAATTATAAAAATCAGACAATCATTTATTAAAAAATGTTATAAAATCTTCACTTTTTTCTTAACATGAAGATATTGAGGTTTAGATATTGAACTGAAAGTAGATTGATAGGTATAATATAATGATCAATTTTCATAATTGAGTATTTTAAGAATGGTGGATTTTCTTTCCATGCCTTTGCCTTCATCTTTCATTGACTTTTTGTAAAAGAAAGAAACCTGGTCATGGTTTTTTTTCTCAACTGCCACGTAGGAAAACGCAGCCAACCCAAAATTCTGATAACACACCATAAATTCTGGTACATGGTGTACCAGAACATATATATAAGGCGTGACATCTTTAGGGCGGTAGAGACCTTTTTTAAAAATTCTAGTATTTGGTATGCCTTAATACAGTGTAAGGAATAAGTTGAACCATTCTTTTACTTTAACTATGAAAAGAATGGGGACTGCATTCGGCTCTTTCATAAGTCTATAAAGTGAATAAAAATCTCTCCATAAACAGTTTATCAATGTCGCCTGTTCTTTATCGAAAATGACTTCAAAATTGAAATCATGCAATATCTTTTCTTTGTTGCCTCCTATTATAGGCGTATGTGACCAATTTTGTGTATTATGGTTTTGCCAATATCGAAATGTGACAGAAATCCTTTTCATTTCTAAACTAATTATCATTCTTATGTGGTCATCATATCTATTTTCTGACTTGATTTCTTGAATTACCAACTCCCAGAGACGATTCCATATTCTCAATATAATATGCAACTCATCGGGCATATACCAGTCCAAACGGATCATGGGAAGGAGAGGAGTTTTGAGGTGACCTGGCGATGGTGAATCCGATTTTAATAAATCCATAGTTTTCTCAATTTTATATGTTTTGTCCTTATTTCCAATATCTTTTTTGGTGCAGAGGCATCAAGAGCAGAAATTATTCAAATTTGGGATATTGAATTCTATTATGATAGCCATGAATTTTCAGTCACTGCTGAAGTAAAATTCAATTCTCCATTTTATACCATACAAGTCCACTAGTCTGTTCATTGTCAAATTATTTAGTTCAGTTATAAGGGGTTTCATTACTTTTTTTAGGATTTCATAATTTTCTACCCCCAGGTATAAAATTAATATGTAATGAAAATCTGCTTTATGAATGTTCAACATATCATCTAAAATTGTGCACGTTATCATCATGTAGCTGATTGTTCTACTGACATTACACCCATCACCCAAAATTCGAATATTAATGACAGAGTTATTTGTATTAAAAATGCTTTGGTCTACAAGACTCGGAATTATATATATGAGGATATTAGTAATGTACCTATAGTATGCTTTATCGACATATTTTAAAACTTCCTCTTCGACCTCTTGATCACTAGTATCTGTAAAGAGGAATAAAGCTATTAAAATTAGTGAAATTAAATTTTGAATTATTTGTAGCGAAGATCTACTTTTATTATACCTATATCAACATCAATATTAGAAGTTTCAAGAGCCATATTTTCAATATTTAGGGTAAAAATAGGTATTTTGATG